AACTTTGGGGTGGAAAAGCCATTGAGTGTTGAGAGCTCGGCGGGCTGTTCTGTGGGAGCTTGGACCATAAGAATGTTGAGAACAGTGCAGACAGTGGAGGTCTGGCCTGCGAAGTTTCAGAGGGAAGTAAAAGTTCTACCAGGCCATTTGTGTGATGAATCTGTGTGTTTGGTCAGATAGAGCAGAAGAACTGACTGTGGTTAACAAGAGACCAAAACTACTAAAGTAAAATCTTTGCTGTAGTAGGACAATCAATGCTGGCTAGCTGGGGCTAAGAAATTAGTAGTGATTAACAAAAGACTAGCATCATTAAGGTGAAATCTTTTGAGAAGTGTTTCCTCAGATTCATCATACAGAAGCTGTGTTCCAGAGGTTGTCAAGGTTGTCTGGCAGCCATACTTGGCAATGTATAAGAGTCACCTAGATGGTATTGACTTTGAATGCATGAAGGAGTCATGGAGAGCGATTGAGGCTTGGCATTAGAGAAAATACAGCCTCAATAACAGTTAAAGTCCTAGGACTGAAGGGGTCAAGGAGAAAAGCTGAGGCTTGGCACCATGAAGATCAGGAGAGACTCCGGTAAAAATGCAGTCCAGTTGCAGCAGAAGACCTGGGCGTTTTGGAGATGCCAATACTGTGGGATATCCCCCCAAACAGCAGAAGCTGTGGAGTGGAGCCTGCTGGAGCCTAGAAGATAAGCTGTGAGAGACCGATTTTTTAAAAGAGATTTTAGGCTTTAAAAGAAACTTTGACTTTTTTTTTAAAAAAAGATCGAATTTAAAGTGTTTGAAAATTTGAAGACTGTGGGACTTTTTAAGGTTGTGAAATGCTTTATATTGTGATACTGATGTTAATACTAATGTGTCATCTTGGGGGTGAATAAGAAGGGAAAGGTTGTAGCCTAGTAATGACGTTTTGTGTGTCAAGCTGACAACGGGTCACCTTGACACAAACTAAAGTCATCTGAGAGGAGGGAACCTCAATTAAGAAAATGTTTCCATAAGGTCGAGCTGTAGGCAAGCAGCAGGGAATTTTCCTAATTAATGATTGATGGGCAAGGCCCAGCCCATTGTATATGGTACCATCCCTGGACTGGTCTTGGATTCTATAAGAAGGTGGACTGAGCAAGCCATGGAGAGCAAGCCAGTAAGCAGCATCCTCCATGGCTTTGGCCTCCAGGATCCTGCCCTGTTTGAGTTCCTGTCCTGACTTCCTTCGATGATGGACCACATGAGTAAGTATAAGTCAAACAAACCCTTTCTTTTCCAACTTGCTTTTTTTGTCATGGTGTTTCACTGTAGCAATAGAAACCCTAACTAAGAAAGTTATCAAGAACTTCAGGCAAGGTTTTGGAAAGAAGGTGTGTAAAATACTTAAAAATTGGCTGCATGCACAGATGGACAGAAGTAGGTGGATATTAGGATCATGATGACTTGGCCCCATGGACCGTGTACTAGGAGACCAAGAACACAGCTCCTAGTGACATGAGATAGTGGGCATGACTCTCAAGCAACAGATCAGAGGTTAAAAGCACACCTCAGTCATATATGCATGCGTATGTATTTACATAGATGTACATGTATGTGTATGTGTATGCATATGTATATATATTTATGTGTATGTATATTTATATTCATAGTTATATAAAGCTGCTTACCTTTCCCTTTTTGCTGGCTTTCAGGACATTCGACTAGAGCAGTTATAATTTCCTCTATATTGCTAGATATATTTGTACACTCCCTTTTTAGTCCTAACTTTCTATTTCTATTTACAAAGTTTAATTTGTCCCAGTACTTTATAGTAGAACAAAATAGAAAATGAACCTCAGAATAATAAATGAAAGAGAAATGCCTTCTCCCTTTTCTGATAGATGGAATCTTCTTGCTTAAAAGGGGCCCTGGGCTTGCTGTATTTAGTAGCAGTGGCCTCCAGGCGGCACCAGAGCCCTCCTTCAGGGAGGCCCTTTGGCCTGTGTCTCCTGCAGGGACCATTTCTGGCAGGCCACACATACATGGGATGGTCCCTGCCCAGAAGCTCTGAGCTCAGGGCTGGAGACAGGCACATCTGACTTAACAGGGCCTCAGGTTTCTGCCAGACACGAAACTCATATTGTTATTGTCACAGATATTCCCAAAGGAATGGAACTGATGGGTGGGGGCTAGTCCAGGCACCTGGAGGTGGGGCTTTGTCCCTGTGCTGGTTAGCTTTTCATCACGTCACACATGCAGTGTCACCTGGGAAGTGGGAGAACCTTAATGAGAAAATGCCTCCATCAGATTGCCTGTAGTCTGTGGAACATTTTCTTGATTAATGACTAATGTAGGAGGGCTCAGCCCACTGCAGGCCATGGGTAGTATAAGAAAGCAGGCTGAGTAAGCCATGGAGAGCAAGACAGTAGGCAGCACCTCTCCATGGCCTCTGCATCAACTCCTGCCTCCAGGTTTCTGCCTTGAGTTGCTACCTGACTTTGCTTCATGATGGACTATGATTGGGATGCGTAAGCCAAATAAACCCTTTCCTCCCAAGTTGCTTTTGGTCATGGTAGACATTGCAGCAATAGAATGCTAACTAAGACAGTCCCAAATGGGACATTCAGGGAGGGTGCCATGGGCACAGGAAGAGCATTTTCTCTGTCACCAAGTGTTCTTTGAGCGTCTGTCTGAAAGTAATATACTACTCCTGGTAGTATCATGCTACCTCTACCAAAGAAAACAAGTGACTGAGGCACTCACTAAAGAGGGTACCACTGCTGCAGCTTGTGTTTACCTGCATTATTTACTAGGAGGGATTATGGCATTTAGAGCCATTTTGTAACTAGCCCTCTTTGCCCCAAAACTACCAGAAGCCTTTGGTAAAAATTGGAACAACATACTTATGAATAATTTTTATATTCAGGTTCTTGACCCTTCCTGAATCTGTTTGTTGCAATAATTAATGGTGACAAAGTGCATTTCCCTGAAAATTTTTTTCCAACATTAGCTTCGCCTGTTACTCTCTCAAGTATTTCCAGAGGGTGAAGGAGAGGCGGAACCAAGAGCAGACACATAAGCAATGGGACCTGGCAGGAGGGGGAGAGGGAGCCACTGTCCACTGTCCACTTACTCCCAGAGCTCCCCGGAGTTCACCTGCAAGAACTGGTGCTCTTGTTGGGGTGCTATTTATTTTATGTATATGAGTGTTTTGTATGTATGTATGTATGTATGTATGTATGTATGTATGTATGTATGTATGCCAGCCACATGAGTGCCTGGTGAAAGCCAGGAGAGGGATTCTGACACCCTGGATCTGGAGTTCTGGGTGGTTGTGAGCTACCATGTGAGTGCTGGGGACCAAACCTAAGTCCTCTGAAAGAGGGACAAATGCTCTTAACCACGGAGCCATGCTTCCTTGTTTTGTTTTTTGATGCTGGGTTCGATCCCATTGCCCCATGTATACTAAGTGAATGGGTACCACTAAGCTGTGCCTACTGCCCTCCATGGTAGGTCTGATTTGCCCTAAACTTCTTTTTACGTATGTGTGTCTGCTCAGGTGTCTGATAGCTGACAGACTAGAGAACTCATGCATTACAGAGAGAAGAGGCTAGAATAACAGACATTTCTCCTGGTTTTCCAGGGATGAAGACATCAGTCATTCTTGGCTAAAAGCAGACATCTGGGCTCCTCTGGGATACTCTAGATGGAGGAATCCTCTGCTATGATGGCCCCGCTCTTCGGGCCTTTAGACTCAAGGAACACTAGCACTAAAACCAGTTTATTTCAACAAATATCACCCTTCCCCTGTCACAAAAGGGTTATTCTTGTCCCCACAAGTCCTTCTGATATGCATTTAACCAACTGATGTAATTCAAGGTGACTTTTGTAGTTTGTCAGTTCAGTTGGGGACACAATGAAATATTTGATGTCTGAAGCAGTCACTAGGTAGTGCATAGTGTAGAATAAAGTGACACCCTGAATAGTAACTAAGAATCAAGGCAAATAAGGAATGGAATGTAACAAGGCATTTACTAGCTAGCCTTTTGCTGGGGGCGGGGTGGTTTAAGGTTAAGGAGACGAGATTGGGTCTTACTAGACAACATACAGCAAGGGATAAAATGGATACTCTCTACATCATTGAGCCTAATTTAGAAGAGAAATAGCTTATGTGATCATCTCAGTATTTTTCAGTTGAACAAATTTGTTGTCTATTAGATTCCAAGAATCAGGACAGACTGGTGGATGTCGGGAGGGAAGCACTAGTTAGCACAGCCAAGGGTGTACAGAATGAAACTATGCCTGTGACCCCTCTGTAGACTCCCTCAATCTCGCAGGGGAGTCTGGGAGTGAGCTGAAGCAGAAGGGTGGCATTCACAAGTCTTTCTTATATGTGCTGTCTCTGACATCATTTTGGGGTCACTTCATTTGGTAGACAGGATGGTGGGGAACAACATTTCACAGACAAAGAGTAGAAATGCTGCTATTGGAGTTGGGCTCAAATAATCCTCATGGGGCAAGTATACTAAAGCAGGAGTACTATGGAGAGCAAAGATAGAGGCCATTATAGGGATGTAGGACACTCACTTTTATTTGGCAGTAATGCACTGGCTTCCTGTGCCTAGAGGCCTGCCATGACCCAAAAGTTATGTTACCTCCTCTCTGACGTAGCACGCTGTTTGTCACTATCAGCCACTGACCTGGAGTCACACTTCTGGGCTGGAGGTGGGCTGCAGGGATGTCCTGGGAATCGGCTTTGCAGAAAGCTTCCCTTTGCATTCTGAGCCTGTGGCTCTGTAGTCACAGGCTTGACCTGAGAATTCAATTTTCTTTGTGTCACTCACACCAGCGGTGGCAGCAACACCAGCAGTGGCCGCAGAAGCTTGGAAAGTCTAAGCTGATGGCCAGCTGGAATCCTGAATCAATTTTCCCCAGCCATCTATCTTGAGGGCTCCCCAACTGCCCTTTGAGCCAATACTGACCATAACCTGTTCTTAGAAACAAAGTTTGATTGCAACTCAGCCATTTCCATCCATTCATATACATTTTATTTTTCATGCTACAGTAGAAACAATAGCAACACATTTAGATAAAGTTTAAAACATGATTGACAAAAGTTTAAGATATTTGTTATCTAGCCCTTTTCAGAAGTTGGAATCAGAAGAGACCATGTTTGTATTTATTTATATTGGAGCAGAATTCAGAGTCCTAGAAGTCCAATGTGTTTGAGGCAAGGCAGAGTCTCAGGTGCTCCTTGTGAGGATGGCGACCACGACACTGATGGATGACAAGGGAGCCTGAAGGCTGGAAAGTGTCTGAGCTGGTGTAGGTCCTTCCAGAGAGAAAACTCGGCCATGAGTAACGTAGGCAAGAAGCACCACGCTGGGCAGGGAACAGTTCACACCCATGCTTTTCTTTCCCAAGGACAAATGGAATGTAGGGACAGTTTGGCATTGCCAACCAATGCCAGCACTTGGCATTAGTGAGGTTGGGTTGTAGACATAGCCTCACCAGGAGGCCTAACCACCATTCACAGTGGCGGTAACGGACAACAGATGGGAAGGCTGGTGTGGCTTTAGTGTCCGCTTTCCCTAAGGCTTTTGTGCACTGGAGGTTGGCTGTGTGGGGCAGCACTACACAGAGTTTTCTGCTTTGGGGAGGGGGCGTTTGCTCACCCGTACAATCAAAAGGCCAACCAAAAATGTTCCAAACATTTTAACCGTTTACTGGAGACAGTGCTACAAAAGATGGCTCTGGTCATTTGTGGAAATATGCATGCAGCCCTTAAGAGTGTGCTTTTTAAAGTCAGAGAATCTCACACTTACTTCCCTATCATGCTTCATAACTTGTTACTTGCAACTGCAGGTAATGAGTCCTCTTACACCAACCAGTCCAGAGGGGATGGTCTACAGGTTTGCTTACTTCCATAAATCTGTGGAAGAGTGTGCAAAACTAGGTGTCATGACTCAAGAGCATTTTGTGAGTGTGCAAGGCATTGGTTACTCGTGCTAAATCCTTACAAGGCTTATTAGCCAGTTGTGTGTAAACCCAGATGTTCAAGTGCTGAATTGCTCAGAGCAAGGCAGTCTGCTGGCAGATGGAGGTTGACAGCTGTCCTATAAAGTTACCATACCCACTGGGAGCAGGATGTCAGGATTCCAGGGTCCCGTGTGACTCTCTGTGGGGGACCAAGAAGGCATGAATTCTCTGCTGCATACTGAGCTCTGATAGGAGTCCCTTGGTGCCCCTTTCCCATTCAACATTTTGGCTTCAGTGATTTTACTTTCACAGTATGAACAACTGTCAAGTCAGCTCTGGCTTGAGTATGTTTGCTTTCTTTGTTTCAAATAATTATATGAAGTATTAAATTGTATAATTGAGCATTCAAAAATAGATTAAATAGATCTTATGATTTAAGTGTGTTGAAAATTTATGTCCATAAAAATGTCAGCTTTTACTTTTTTTCTGAGCCTTTAAAAATATGTCACCACTCAGTTAAGGATAGGTGGCATGGCCACCATGTTCACCATTTCCGGAGACAGATAATTAAGTTCTTGTCAGAGTTGGCAAATGGGATGGAGATCACCCTGTGAACCAAGGGCAAGGAGCAGTGGTGCCCAAGTTTCTGTGACTGAGTCTGTCTGAAAACACAGATATGCTCAGATGTAGAACTCCTCCATGTCATTATCCTCCAGGCCAGCTGTCGTTGGGGGCAGTAGCATGTCTTGGACACCCTGTGTGGTTTTGGAGTCCTGGCAAGAGAGCTGTGGGGATGACTCTGTAGGCAAGGAGACACCAGAAGCTGAGAGAGCAGCAGTAGTTATTTCTGTAGGGCTGGGAGACCCTTTGGTGAAGACAGGGTAGGAATCCCAGGAGGTGTCTGGGCTCACCTCACTGGCAGCAGGCAGTGGTCCTTCGTCGGGCCTCTTGGATGCTGGCCAGTGGCTGCTACATCTCTTGGAGGGGAGGGATGATGATGAGTCCACAGAGTTGCAAAACCTACTGGGTGCAGAATATGCAGAGACCACAGACAGGTCTGAGGAGGACAGCCGCAGGCCCGTGTCTACATCTGTCTCCTGGGCCCCCTCTAAGTCATCAATGGACAGGAGGTTGCCGGGCCTCCACTCTGATGCACTGTGCCTCTGTGAACCAGTCAGTAGGGGCTGTGGTTCAGTTGGGGAGGGGCCTCCACTGGGCAAACAAAACAAAGACTTGCTCCTCTGGAAGGACCAGGCAGGGCTGGAGGTGCTTGACTGTGGGGCACACTCCTGCTTGCTCCTGGGAAGCAGGGCCACCGGGCTAGACCCCAGGAATGGGCTGTTCTGCGGGGCTGTGTGGCTGCTGCCCTGTGCTGTGCTTGGCGTGTCAATGGCTGCTGATGCAGGGGGATGAGGCTTCTTCTCAGAGGAGTGGTGTGCTCTGCTGTACTTGGGGGCCTTCTTGTGTGTCCTCTGTGCCTGTGGAGAGAGGGCTCCGTTAGTCAGAGGACACACAGGGCTGGGGGTGCTCACTGTTACATGCAACATGAAACGTACTGCCATTCGTTGGAACTTCCAACTGTGTCTGCCTAGGAAGCTACCTCCAAGACTGAAAAATAGAGCTGGCTACTCACTGCGACAGGGAATTGTATTGGGAAAAGTCCACATGTGAATGTACTGAGGAAAGAGGGCCTGGATAAGCAGACAAATGGAGATGAGAAGCAGACACCTAGAGCTGTGAACCGAATTGAACTCCTGGAACCCAGTTGCAAAGTGGAGTGATGACCAAAGGAATCAAGATCGGGCTGGTGAAACCCACAGAGGCAGATGACCTAAACAAGGGGGAACACGTGGACCCCAGACTGATGACTGAGGGGCCAGCATGGGACTGATCCAGACACCCTCCCACCAAACCTGGGTGACAGAGAGGAGGCCTTGGCAATCTGTGGGACCTTGAGAGTAGAGCACTATTTATTCCTGGCATACAGATGGACTCTGGGAGCCTGTACCACGTGGAGGGATGCTCTCTCAGCCTGGACACATAGGGGAAGAACCTAGGCCCTTCCAGGGATGATGTGACAGACTCTGAAAATGCCTCATGGAAGCCCTTGCCCTCCCTGGGGAGCGGAGGGGGGATGGAGTGGGGGCGAATGGTTGGGAGGGTTGGGGGGTGGGGGAGGAGGAGAGGGAGAGGGAACTGAGAGTGACATGTGTAAAAAAAAAAAAGAAAGAAATAAAAGGGAAAAAAAAGAAGTCTCTTTGCACTCCGCAAAGCTCTGTTACCTCTGTTTTCCCTCTCCAGCTCGGAGCGCACAGCAAGGCTTTAGCTGAGGGAAGGATAAATGCGGCCTACAATCTTACATTTCTAAGGGTTTCTCATTCTTTGATCACTCTGTTGGGTATATTCACTTGTTGACTTTAAGCAATACGATTTCCTGTCACAGTGAGGAACCAGTTGGGTCCCCTCACCCCCAGATTGAGATATGCTCAGAACAATTTGAGACCACATCAGCATGGGACCAGATGCCAGCACACATGCTTTCCCAGGTGTCTTGTGACTCTTCCTGGAGAACAAACATTTATCTAACCCAGATATGGCACAGATGACAGATTAAGGAAGTAGGCCTACCCATTGGCTTGGTGAGCCAATGAGTTTTCTGGGGTTACTTACAGTAGCGCGAGTCATTCCATGGTAGCCATATCACCAAAGAAGCCCAGTCCAGCATGGGCTGTATCCTTTGCAATCCCTACCAAACTTGGAGGCAGCTCCAGAGGAAAATCTCCCCCCAGCAACTGTTTACTGCTTTTATAACTTTAGAAAGGGCCTTGGGACTCTTAACTTTCTGAGTGTCCTGAGACTTTTAACTTCAGGCAACTTCCTGAGGCTCCTTGCAGGATGGACTGTTTCTGTTCTGAGAGAACAGTTTCCCAACACCAAGACGCAATCTAGCATGGGAAGTACGTTTCCCACGAAAGAGAGGGGGGGCAGTCAGCATTTATTTCCATGCTGATAGGAACTACAGGTTCCTTTCTACATTTTACTTTCCAGGAATTATGTACAAGAAGAGGAATTACTGCTTCCTGAGGAATCGTGAGGACACTTGGTAGGGAAGACAATTCCACCCTTCCTCAGTGACTCATTCTGCTCGTTTTCACACACCAGCCCTGCTCAGATTAGCAGTCCACCAGGACCCGGTGTCTTCTGCGTGGAACCGGGGACTCTGCTCACACACCCTTCACCTCCTCGGCTTCTCTCCAATGATTCCTCTGGCCCAGAACCAAGATGATAACGCAAAGTTTCAATTAGACAATAGGTTTGAGGACAGTGGGTCTGGATTTATTTAGGACAGGTGCACCTGATTTATGAATCCCTAAAATGACAAAAAGTTTTCTACCAGGGTTTCTAGTGCCTGAGGCTGTCCTCAGACCTGTCTGTCTCCTCTAGTAGCTAGAAGGGGCGGGCAGCTCCTTCTAGCAGGCTGAGACACTCATCTTTGTAACACACACTTCTGCCTGCCTCCCGCATTAATGAGGGACCTGGTTTTCACAAGCCACCTCGGAGCTATTGTTCAGTGAACTATGCATCTATTGAGAACTTAAATATCGGGCAAAGCGTGGGAGGGCGCTACAATGCAAGATTCTGGTTTGATTACATGAATTTAGTTTTTAAACTTCACTAAAAGGATAGAAGGCAAAACTAAGAGACAAGAGGACGTGATGTTTGATGCCCGAGAGGACAGGGAGAGAACTCGTCTTCCCAGTGGGGCAGAGTGGACGTCAGTGGAGGTGGGTCCTGGGACACACAATACAGGACGCGGGCATGCCCAAACCGGGTGGCTTTCTGGCAGGGTGGTGGTGTGCAGCGGGTGGATGGAGGCGGGGCGGGGGGTGGGGGTGGGGAGTGGGGGGTGGGGGAAGGCTATTCAGAAGCCACTGCAATGATGCTCCAGTTCTGATGTTTAGGGACACCTAAGCTCCATCTGCACGATACACAGGCACTCCCCAGCCGTGAATCCAGAGGAGCAGAATCTCCCAAGATTGCCTGCCTGGCATTTCTCTGTATTTGTCAGTCTGCAGCCCATTTGGCTTTTGTCCCCATGACTTGCTGATCATACTACATCAGCTAGGCTCTGCATATCACAGTGGCATCCCAAAGCTGTTTTTATTAAGTGTCGCTTAAGGAATTAAAGTCAGTTAGTTGCAACAAGACTTCTGCAGGGGCTGCAGAGGTGACTCAGGTGGTAAAGTGTTTGCTTCACAACTATGGGGACCTGAGTTTGGATCCCAGGCAGCCATATAAGATGACAAGCATGTGTCCGTCACCCAGGTGCTGGGGACAGAGATGATCCCTGAAGCTTATGACTAGTCAGCCTAGCTGACCTGGTGAGCTCAAGGTTCAGCGAGAGACCCTATCTCAAACTACAAGGTGGGGAGACTTTACAAAAGACACCCAGTGTTGGCCTATGGCTTCCATGTGCACATGCACATGTGGACATGTACCCAAACACACATTTGCATACACACAAAACATATATACACCACACATACAATAAAAATATTTTTCTTAGTGCCTAAATTATAGATATATCATGAAGGCCCAAGTCACCCAAGAAGGGTCACAGCTGGTGACTGTTGAGACAAACCAATTTTCACCCTTACCTAAGCTTGGCTGGGTAAGACAGAAGAGAGGACGAGCTTGTTGTTGGGAAGGAATCCCTGAAGGATGGAGACTTCTTTAAGTCTGGAAAGGCACAGTTCCCGCAGACACCTGAGTGAGGTTGCTTACTGACAAGGATAAGCCACAGTGCAGCCACAGCTTCAGGGCCTCTACAATTCTTGGTGAGGGTGCCTGCAGTCTGGGCATGCTTGAAAAGGGAAGCCAGTGGCTGGAGCTTTAGGGGACGCTGAAGATCAGGATTCCCAGTCAAGTGACTGCTAAGGAGCATACAAACCTGTCGCTGTCAAGGAGCAAGGTGGAGTTAAATTTGACTTGAAGCCCAGCATGGCAGGCAGGTGGACTGTGGGCTTTAGCAGAGGAGTTCACGTTTGCAGAAGCCCACATATGTTCTTGCTAGTTTCTATGGCCCCATGAAGGTGCCAGGCTGGAGAAAACCTATCTCCTGCTGCTCTGAAGAGAACTGGCAGTCGCTCTGGTTTACTGGGGAGTGTGATATGCATGGCGGATGTTCCTGCTGGGTGTGTGTAAATCAGGCTAACACGGTGCTGTGGATATCTGCAGCACCCTGGGGGAAGGAGGCTGGGGAACCTCTCCTACCCCACCATCTCTAGAGCCAGGGCTGATGAGCATGGTTCATCTACCTGGCCTCGGGCTGGGGTCCTTTCCTAGTTTTACCCAGTGGGATCTCATCTGACTGCAGACAGCTCACCATACCAAGGATGGAGCCTCTCTGCTGTGTTTCCCTGGGGCTGGCTCTGTTCCACCCCATTCCTCCCCGCTTGTCTGCAAGACTAGGAATAATAAAGGCTGAGAGTGAAACCAGAAACTCTGCCCCTGTGGGATTTACCAGAGTGAAACAGGAGCCTGGGCTTCAGTGCTTCCCTGTCAGCTCTCAGGGGTGCCCCAGCAGTGACAGCAGAGATGGTGTGAGGCCAGCCTCCCTTCCTCCCCTCTAGATGCCCCACTGGATTCACAAGCTGCTTTCCTCACTATTTAAGGAACTCTCTAGAAGAGTAGACCAGCATGCATAAATTATCTGCTGAGGGCAACCAGCCAGGGGGACCTGGTTATGCTTCTCATGTCACCGGGAAATTGGAATCCAGCTCCGAGCTGGTCCTGAGACCGCAGCACAGGCTGTTTCCTGGTGAAGTGAAGCCAGCTCCTGAGACGAAGCCCCTCCTCAAAGGGTCTTAAGAGGCTCATGCCTAGAGGCGCATGGTAGAGCCAATCCTTCTGTAAGTGCTAATAGAGGTGATTAGGTCTCCCTTCCAGGGCCCAGGGTGTCCCCAGCTTGTTCAAGGTCAGGAAGTCCTGCCTCTGACTCCTGTTCTGAACAAGTTCATCCTCTCTTGTTTTATCCTCTGCAAAGACATGACCAGCATAGCACTGACTGCTGTCTAATAAATTAGACCTTTAAACTCAGGGATTGATAGTGAGGAGGGCCATCTCAAGGGCAACTGAGTCCTGAGAATCTGGGGCTTGCCTCTGCAGCACACAAGAAGGTGGGGCTTTGCTCTCCATTCACTCTCCTCTAAGAGGTGTCCATATTCTTTCTAAGGATACAGTTCATGGCCAAAGCCCTTGTCCCTTGCTGAATGTTCAGGAGGAAAAGGCGGCATCAGAGAAGGACAAGGTCAATTTAGGTGGAGAGAGCCAGGTGCAATTTGTAACTCATGACAGTGTGAGGTTGGAAGATTGAAGCGGATTACTGGGTGTAAATTAATTGGCACTTTAAGGGGCTGGGGAGGTATCAGCAGTTAAGAGCACAGGTTGCTCTGGCAGAGGCCCAACATTTGACTCC